TTCCACGTCATTCCGAAGCTCTCCGCGTCCTCGGATGCATTAGGATTCGACGAGATCGGCTTCTTATCAAATTGCGTCAACGTGGTTTCAGAGTGCCCTGTAGTGAATGTGGTTATTATCCCAAGCATCAAAAGATGGAAATGCGGAAGCGCGGGTCGGCAGGGAGACCTAACCTAGTGTGATACCATGTAAACGTGAGAATAATTGAGAAGAATGAGGTGGTACAAGGGGATATACCGAAGGGGTTGTACTCTATATAAGCATGCACCTCGCTAGCCTATAACATATACAAATTACAGTGACGGAAACCATTGTCCGTATGTTTTGCATTAATTTGAGTTTTTAGGCTTTAAGACCATCATACATTAAGCCTTAATGTTTAATGGTGGTACGATTTGGGAGGGGCATATAGTGAATGTGTGCACAGTACAAAAATCCAGAATAGTACATTGGATCTAACTCATATCTCAGAAGATAAACAGGGGGTACATCCGGACAAATAGTTCCAAGCAAAGAGAGAAAACTTTAGAACTACGTTTCTAGTACATAGCCCACCGACCTTTGGTCTTGATCACCACCCGCACCCTCCTAGGCATGTTACCTACGAGGTTAGTGCAAACCTTGGCAGGGAACTTCTTGCACTCTTACAGGACCCACCATTTTGCATAAGGGGGTGTGCACTAGGAAAATCGCGAAAAAGTTGGGCGTAGGCAAGAGTATTGTGGACGATTTTTTATTGAATGTTATCTCTGAGACTAGCCATGCTGAGGTGTGGCCAAAGATGCAATTAGCCAGTCAGCCCCATCTTATGACGGATCATCTTCGTTGTACCGTTATAGGGTAAAATTACGAATAGAGCGGCCAAAACTAGCATAGACACCGCGAAACTGAGGGTAATGTTGGACGGTTGACTGTGCACCCTTGCACCATTAATATCATAATAGGATCCACGGGTCTAGTTACGGTGCAGCAGTCGTAGAAGCCATGACTGTTCTGGAAAAACATCCGGGGCCGGCTGCAATTCGTGGAGTCGCATGCTGAGTGAACAATTAATGTTCGAAAGCATGTGATCTGGTCAAATGGGAACTACATCAGCTACTTCAGTTCCAATGGCCGTGCATTTGCCTGGATTCGTGTATGCACAACCCTGCAGTATCACCAAGTCAAACAGACGGTAAACCATGGGGACAAAGATCGGTGAAGGTGTGGGGATGTAAGACACGTGCAAGGGTGGGGTTCATATGCAAGATTGACGGGCGCATGGACATGCCCTTGTACGAGAGAATTTTGCACGACTAACTCGAATTGACCCTTGATTTCTATAGCATTTTCCCCTCTGAGATCATTTTAGTGCGGACAATGACTCCAAGAATTTGTCATGCCTAGTGCAGGAATGAATTGGAGAACATCAGTATGTAGCCCTGGAGTGGCCTTCTTCCTCATCAAACCTCAACCTCTGGGCTTACCTGAAAAGGGAGCTGACCAAGCATAAAATGCCATTCTCTTGAATGCGAGAGCTTTGGGACAGGGTACAGGAAGAATGGGAGAAGATCCATGCCGAAGTTTGCTCTAGCCTTATCGACAGCACTCGTAGGAGGGTGCGGGCGGTGATCAAGGCCAAAGGTCGGTGGGCTTGGTACCAGAAACGCAGTCCTCAAGTTTGCTCCCTCTGCTTGGAACTATTTGTCCGGATGTGCCCGTTGTATATCTTTTGGGATTTGAGTTAGATCCAATGTACTATTTTGGACTTTTGTGCCACATCCATTATGTGCCCCTCCCAAATCGAATCACCATTAAACGTTAAGGCGTAATGTATAGTGGTCTTAATGCCTAGAAACCCAAATTAATGCAAAACATACGGACAATTGCTTCCGTCACTGTATATGTTGACACCGATCCCTCGTGTGACCTCACTAACAGCTTGACCTGGGCTGATTCCAGCCCAGCTGCTGTGCTGGCACGCTGCCTGCCGCTGGTTGGTCCCAGAGCGAACGAAGCCGCGGTGGCTGGCGCTGCTACTGCTCGCCTGTTGTCCCACTCCCATGTGTGACTAATATTGGTGGATCGCAAAATGGCACGCCATTCAAGATACGCCTACGCGTTCACCTAGGCGTAACGGGGATATGTGAGAGCAAACGCAATGTCGGCTAGCAATGGCGCTGAAAATAGAGCAAGAGGCAGCGCTACTCCAGTTAGGGCATCATACCTAAAGAAACGACCGCCCAGAGGCATATCCGCGACGCATCCACGACCGACGGCGTAGGGCGAGAGAAGGGGGGATGCAGAGCTAGTGAGAGGGGGATGCAGAGCGAGTGAGAGGGGGATGCAGAGCGAGTGAGAGGGATGCAGAGCGAGTGAAAGGGGGATGCAGAGCAAGTGAGAGGGGGATGCAGGGTGAGTGAGAGGGGGATGCGGGGCGAGTGAGAGGGGGATGCGGAGCGAGTGAGAGGGGGATGCGGAGTGAGTGAGAGGGGGATGCGGAGCGAGTGAGAGGGGGATGCAGAGCGAGTGAGAGGGGGATGTGGAGCGAGTGAGAGGGTGATGCAGATCGAGTGAGAGGGGGATGCGGAGCGAGTGAGAGGGTGATGCAGATCGAGTGAGAGGGGGAGGCAGATCGAGTGAGAGGGGGATGCAGAGCGAGTGGGAGGGGGATGCAGAGCGAGTGAGAGGGGGATGCAGAGCGAGTGAGGGGGATGCAGAGCGAGTGAGAGGGGGATGCAGAGCGGGTGAGAGGGGGATGCAGAGCGAGTGAGAGGGGGATGCAGAGCGGGTGAGAGGGGGATGCAAATCGAGTGAGAGGGGGATGCAGAGCGAGTAAGAAGGGGATGCAGAGCGAGTGGGAGGGGTGTTATAATCACAATAGGCTCAGATGTGCCTAAAATGAGAGAAAATGTGCACAGTCAGAATTCCGTTAGACAGCTTCAAATATTGATGGCGATCTGATCTGACACCCAAACGATAATCTGTAAATTGGATCTAGAGCACGTTGCTGTCCCCTATCAGCAGCAAGTTGAATCCTAAAATTCCATGAAGATTTGACGACGCTATGACGGTTTGACTGGCAGGAGCTACAGCAGCCACTATAGTCTTAGGAGTACAAAAACTTAGGAAGAAGAATTCGAGAGGGAGATGGTTCCCAGCCTCTACATACCCCAAGAGCCGAGGTCCAGGCTGGTAGTACACCACCACAGAGTCCCCAACCACGAAGAGTCTCGAAACAAACCCTCCAAGGGGCTACACGAAGTGAAATGTAACACTACACGAAGTAGTGTTACTACTTTCACTATTTAATATTTATCCGCGTCCCTTGGGCTTGAAATCTTGAGCTCTTGGTCTTGGTTCTGCAAGATAAATACTTCTTGAGCTGATGGGGGTTGCTGCACACACCTGCGACGCGATGGATACTGCATACTCGACAAAATAGAAAAACACATGCGACACGCAAACGACGACTTGACATGCGAGTTGTAAAAACTCACTCATGTCTTGACCGACACACACCACATTGTGAGACACCATTCAAACACACACACAAGCACTAGATAGCAATGACATAGACTCACAAGTCATTCCATGCCATGCATGCACACATACAAACAAGGACGACAAGCCGAGTGCAAGCCATAGGGTTGCACCAACAAAGCCCCCCTCGGATTGTTGGCCTTAGAATCTGCTCCCCTTAGTTCAGAGCCATCCCAACAAGCTTGCAACACTTCCAATGCTGCTGCTCAACCAGCCTTTTGGTCATCATATCAGCAGGCTGCGCCGTCGTCTTCACGTAGTGCAACTCCACTTCACCCGCGGTTACCATGTTCCTCACCCAATGCCACTTCACTTTCATGTGCTTGGTAAGGCCATGAAGGACGGGGTTTTTAGCCAATGCAATAGCACCCTGGCTATCACAATAGAGTGGGGTAGGTCCTTGCTGCTCCTCCCCCAATTCAGCTAGCAAACGCCGCTGCCACACAACCTCTCTTATGGCACGGAAGAGTGCCATGTACTCGGACTCCACCGAGCTCAATGCTTGGTCCACTTGCTTCTTGCTCTCCCAAGCTGTTGGGCCTCCACCAACACAGCAGATGAAGCCTCCCACACTTGTCATATCCTCTGGTTCTGATGCCCAAGATGCATCAGAGAAAGCGGTGAGAAATAGCCTCCCGGGTTCGACTCCATCCGCACCCTTTTGACGCCTTTGTGCCGCCGCGGAGTATTGCAGTCCAACAGTTGCTGTTTGGCCAAGATACTTGGCCACTCTCTCTCCAGCTGCTACCTGCTCTTCATTAGGGCATTGGACAACCCTAGCTAGCTGCCCGGTAGCAAAGGCTGCATCCGGCCTTGTGTGGACGGCCGCATACATGAGGCTCCCCACCAAGGGTTCCAAAACATATACCGCGAGGCTTGGTGAGCGGAAGCTTTGGGACCTTCATGAGGACAGGGACATCTACAATGAGATGTGGCAAATCCCAGTGGTCAAAATGCCTAAGGAGAGGCAAAAGGCAGCAAGCATCAGCACCAAGAGTGAAGCGGTTGGTGGCGGTGATCACGGAAAGCAAAGTGGCACCAAGAGTGACTCGAAGGAGTGCAAACTTGGTGAGACTAGCAAGGCATGTGAACCGAAGGAGTGTGGTGCAGCAGCCAAAGAAGGTGGAAATGAGGAGGGGAAGGCTAAGATCAGCAAAGCAGCAGCGGCAAAGGAGAAAGGAGAGAGCTTGTGGGGCACAATTGCGAGTGCCGCTTTCTCCAACCCGACTTCCGCTACGGGAGAGTGTGATTGGCTGACCTTGCATCGGCGAATGGGGCATGTGGCATTGCTCATTTTGCAGCAGATAGTTAAGCAAGAGATGGTCAGTGGGATACGTGTCAAGGGGGAGCCCAATGAGGTGCTTGGCTGTCCAACATGCATGCAAGCCAAGTTCACCCGCTACCCGTTCCATAGCTCGGAGACAACGGCGAAGGCACCACTTGATGAGGTGGTGATGGATGTGGTGGGCCCCTTGAAGCTTGGAGCTGCTGGAGCAGAGTACTTCCTCACCATTGTGGACGTCTACACTCGCATGACTTGGGTGTATGTGCTGCCCAAGAAGAGTGACGTGGCTGAAACGGTGAAGACCGATTGGTTGCCGATGGTGGAGCGGCAACAAGACCGGCTTGTGAAGGCGATTTGCACTGACCGTGGGGGAGAGTTCCTGAGCAAGGACTTCTCAACTTGGCTGAAGAAGCAGGGCATAAGGCACTCTCTCACCATGCCCTATGTGGAGAGGATTGGAAGGAAGCCGAAGGTGGATATGCTTCGGGTGTTCGGGTGCATGTGCATGGCACTTGTGCCTAAGAAACTTCGGCACAACAAGCTTGATGCCAAAGCAACATGGGCCGTGCACCTGGGCATGGCTCAAAATAGCAAGGGATGGCTTCTTTGGGACCCATTTACTAAGAAGTTCCTGGTGAGCAGAGATTGCAAGTTCATGGAGAACTTACCGTACAAGGAGTGGAAGGCGGAGAACCAAGCGAAGATTGGTGTGCGGCTTGGAGAGGTGAAGAGTACCGGCTTGGAGCATGTGGAGCTGCCGTTGGAGCTGAGTATCAGCAGCACTATCACAAGCCAATCTCCTCAAATGAATGGGGAAGAAGAGGAGGAGGAGGTGCAGCAAGGTGATGAGCGTGCATTGTCACTTCCGCCTCGTGCTACAAGTGCTCGCGGGAACCGACCAGATTTGCAGCAACGCCATGAGAGCATCCAAGTCCCTCCAGCAGAGGAGGAAGGAAGGGGTAGAAGGAGGACTCAGCCCCCTAATAGGTTGAGCTATGACCGGTTTGGAGGACCAGCCAACCCAACTTTGACCGGTTCGGCTGTCATGCTAGGCGATGATGCGGAAGATGAAAGCGAGGAGTGCGCTTTTGCCTTCTTCTCTCCGGTGGAGATGCCGGGGGAGCCTACAAATCCCAAGGAGGCTTGGGAGGGCCCCAATGGGAAGGAGTGGAAGAAGGCCTCAGATGAAGAAATGGGGAGCATCATAGAGAACGACACATTTGACTTGGTGAACATTCCTCCGGGGCGTAAGGCGATCTCTTCGAAGTGGCTCTTCAAGCGCAAGACCGACGCCGATGGCAACATTGAGCGCTACAAGAGCAGACTTGTAGCCAAGGGGTATCAGCAGTAAGAGAAGAAGGACTACAATGAAGTGTATGTCCCTGTGGTGAAAGGTACAACCCTTCGAACCCTCTTCGCCGCGGCGGCCATCAAAGGATGGGTGGTGAAGCAAATAGATATAGTAACGGCCTTCCTCAACGGTGTTTTGGAGGAAGAGACCTACATGGAGCAGCCAGAGGGGTACAATGATGGGAGTGGCAGAGTGTGGAAGCTGAAGAAAGCACTCTATGGCCTCAAGCAAGCCCCTAGGCAATGGTACATCAAGCTGCGGGAAGTCTTGGAGGCGATCGGCTTCACTCCCTCAACGGCCGATCAATCCTTGTTCATGCTTGGCGAGGGGGAGCAGAGGAGCTTCATGGTGGTTTATGTGGATGACATTCTCATATTCTCACCCTCCTCTGACCTTGTGAAGGAGGTGATGCTGAAGCTTCAAGACAAGTTCAAGTGCAAGACCCTTGGTGACGTCAACTACTACCTTGGGCTTCACATTGAGCGAGATGTGGAGAAGCGGTGGATGCGAGTGCATCAAAAGAAGTACTTGGAGGCCTTGGCTGCAAACTTTGGGAAGAGTGAAGGTCATGTGGCTACTCCTCTTCCCTCGGGGTTCAAGTGTGTGAAAGGACCAGCGGAGGAAAGTGTTGGTGAAGAGGAGAGGCGTCGTTTTCACTCCTTGGTGGGCAGCCTCATGTATGCGGCCGTTCACACAAGGCCGGATGCAGCCTTTGCTACCGGGCAGCTGGCTAGGGTTGTCCAATGCCCTAATGAAGAGCGGGTAGCCGCTGGAGAGAGAGTGGCCAAGTATCTTGGCCAAACAGCAACTGTTGGACTGCAATACTCCGCTGTTGTGACAAGTGTGGGAGGCTTCATCTGTTGTGTTGGTGGAGGCCCAACAGCTTGGGAGAGCAAGAAGCAAGTGGACCAAGCATTGAGCTCGGTGGAGTCCGAGTACATGGCACTCTTCCGTGCCATAAGGGAGGTTGTGTGGCAGCGGCGTTTGCTAGCTGAATTGGGGGAGGAGCAGCAAGGACCTACCCCACTCTATTGTGATAGCCAGGGTGCTATTGCATTGGCTAAGATCCCCGTCCTTCATGGCCTTTCCAAGCACATGAAGGTGAAGTGGCATTGGGTGAGGAACATGGTAACCGCGGGTGAAGTGGAGTTGCACTACGTGAAGACGACGGCACAGCCTGCTGATATGATGACCAAGAGGCTGGTTGAGCAGCAGCATTGGAAGTGTTGCAAGCTTGCTGGGATGGCTCTGAACTAAGGGGAGCAGATTCTAAGGCCAACAATCCGAGGGGGAGTTTGTTGGTGCAACCCTATGGCTTGCACTCGGCTTGTCGTCCTTGTTTGTGTGTGTGCATGCATGGCATGGAATGACTTTTGAGTCTATGTCATTGCTATCTAGTGCTTGTGTGTGTGTTTGAATGGTGTATCACAATGTGGTTTGTGTCGGTCAAGACATTAGCGAGTTTTCACAACTCGCATGTCAAGTCGTCGTTTGCGCGTCGCATGAGCTTTCTCTATTTTTTCGAGTGTGAAGTGTCCATCTCATCGCAGGTGTGTGCAGCAAGCCCTCATCATCTCAAGAAGAATTGATCTTGCAGAACCAAGACCAAGAGCTCAAAATTTCAAGCCCAAGCAATGTGGAAAAATATTATAATAGTGAAAATAGTAATGCTACTTCAAGTAGTGTTACATTTCACTTGGTGTAGCCCCTTGTTGGGTTTGTTTCGAGTCTCCTCATGGTTGGGGACTCTGTGGTGGTGTACCACCAACGACTTTTCCCTTTGGTCATTTCCTCCCTGTGTTGGAGTCTGTGTTCGGTTCGCGAAACACGTTTTCCCCCATTGTCCAATCACACGCTTCCCTTTTCCATCCCCCCCCCAACAAGTTCACTGTTCCAAAATTTCACAGGGTAACCATTTAGACCCCTTGCAAAATGGGTAACAAAAAATCTCGCGCCTTGTAACTTGGGACCTGGGCTTTAACCGTTGCCTTTACGACTTCGTGGCCCGAACGTCCACCTCAAATCTCTCTGCACTTCGAGCCATAGGGCACGTGACAAGAGAAATAAGGCTCGACGCCAATGCGTCGTTGGGGTTGCGTAGCAGCTTTAGAGAATCCTGAAATGAAAGAGCAATTCTCTCATGCGAATAAATAGGTAAGAGAGTTCGTTTGCAAGGTAAGCTATGTGCAATTGTTTTTCAGATTGGATATGAGGATGAACATGATTTGAAGCAATTAGGGGATTTTGATGAGAAATGTATATACGAGAACAATGCCATGGGTTTTCTACAAATCTCAACATGAAAAAAAGTTTTGGTTGAAAAACAACAGCAAGTGGTTATTATGGATGCTAGGCGTGTACTTCTCTGTAGCTATTAGAACTTGCATTTTTGCCGAGACGAGAGGCAAAAGATTTTTACTGTTGTGGCGTTTTATTCAAGCTTGACTTTTTAGTTGCAGTGTTTCACGTTGGATGATGGCATGGCGCACCGTCAAGATGATTGGTTCGTTTTGACGTTGACTGTCAAGTTGCAGTGTGGCTCCATCTCTTTTCGAAATTTATTGGAACCTTGAGTTTTTAGTTGCATGAGTACATTATCAGCTGAAGGCGGGCACTAGAGTCGTTGGCTGAATTCCTAAGCAAACTTGGGCAGTTTTTTTTCTCTCCCTTATTAGTTTGTTTCGATCTTGACTGTCAAGTTGCAGGTTGACTGTGCTGTTTGCCGGTACCACAGGCAAAGAACGTTCACTGTAGTCAAAATCTGCTAGACCTTGGCTGTTTATTTGCACAGCGTCAAGCGAAGGCAGAGAACATTCGCTGAACACCTGTCCTCCTATGTAGTCCCACGGTTTTTGCACGTAGCTCGAGCCTGTAAGCAGGAAATAGTAAAACACGGGCAAACGGGACTTTGAAGGGGAAATCCCACAGTAAGAAATGACTCTTGGTTACAAAATCTCGCTCACGCACTAGATTAGTTGCCTGCGTGACGTCCCAGCTGTGAAACTCGCAATTGTCGAAATACAACTTGGTAGTTCGCTATCGTTCAGACTGCAGCCAATCAGGTTCAGTGTCAACGCAAGTCATGCCGAGAACCTGGTAGGTGAGATTGAAAATTTGGACTGTTCCGGGTGGGACAATAGAGGGGAAAAGGTGTAGGCAACTTTCCCTGCCATTTTCAAGATTCTTCCCCGAAAAAGTTCTTCCCTACCAGAGTTCCCTTCTCGCTGGCTCCTCTAGCACTTCAAGATTCTTCCCTGAAGAAGTTCTTCCCTACGTTCTATTTCGTAGCTCTTTCATCCTCCTAGTGCTGTTTCCAACTCCCTCGCTCAGTTTCCCGCCTGCTCTCAAGGATCCGTTATCGTGGTTTAGCACCCCACCTCAAAGGTATTGCTGGTTGCTAGTTGTCATCCCATCCCTCCCACGCTCTCTGCCATGTTATGGCGCTGCGACGTGCTGGTGTGCTAGAGGCACAGTGCGCTTTGGCACCTTGCACTCTGGCACTGTGCGCCTTGTGCCGCGCGCGCTGACGCTGTTCGCGCTGACGCCGCGCGCGCTGGCGCCGTCTGCGGTGACGCCGCGTGCGCTGGCGCTGTCCATGGTGGCGCTGTCCTCGGTGGTCCGGTGCGCTCTGGCGCCATGCGCGCTGGCCCGGTGCACGCTGCCGTGTGCGCTAGCGCGGTGCGCGGTGGCACCGTGCGCATGGCCGACGTGCACAGTGGTGCCGTGCGCTGGCGCCATGCGCGCTGGGCCGGTGCGCGCTGGCGCCGTGCTCACTGGTCCGGTGCACGCTGGCGCCGTACGTGCTGCCACCGTGCTCGTCGGGGCTGCCACCGTGCTCGCCGGCGCCGTGCACGCTGGTGCCGTGCGCTCTCTCCTCTCTCCTATCTCCTATCTCCTTTCTCCTATCTCCTCTCTCCTCTCTCCTCTCTCCTCTCTCCTCTCTCCTCTCTCCTCTCTCCTATCTCCTCTC